AAGACATTTGTTTTCTTCAAAGCCCAGCTCAAGTGCCACATTCAACATGAGGCCTTTCTGAATCCAGCTTCTAGCAAATCCACCTCCCCCCCATTTTTTGCCTTCTTTTTATTGTGAATATTATTTCGTTAATCCCAGAGCTAGAACCTGACATCAAATATCCTGATACTTAGTATAGTAATTTTGCTGTAACTTCAACAGTAAGTGGAAAGAATACTGAATCTACACTCAGAAAGAAATGGGTTTCTAATTCCTGCTATGATTTCTACTAGCTACATAAGCCTCCAACCTCTGCCAGACTCAGTTTCCTCTCTGCAAAATGAGGATGCTCATGCTTGCATTATCTACCTCATAGGGTTAGAGGAAAATCCTTTGTAAGCTTTAAAGTGTTACACAAACATTAATTAGAATAGATGAGGGCAATGCTACTTCTTTGATATTGTCTGGCCCACTCTTTCCCTTCCTACATTCCTCATTGCTGTTATTGTTAATACAGAAAATTAAAGGGGGTGAGTTGGAAAAATCAAGTAATTTGGGACAAATGGACTAAAGGGAGTTACAAACTGAGGAGACTGAAGAGACTAAGGGAGCAAATTTGGGGAACTAGAATTTCTCGTTCTTTTGCTCTCTACTGGGGATCTTAACTAAGAACATATTTACCTTGGTAATGTACCTATGAGGTGGCAGAGAAGGGCAACCCAATGACCCATAGATTTGCATATGTTATTAAGCAATGTAGTTAAATGGTAAAAGATTACTGTGTGAGTGTGTGGATCCTTTATACCATAAGCATTTGTTTATGGGATTCTGGTGAATATCAGAACAAGAGGCCTAGACTAAGACCTGGACTTCACTGCTAGAAAAGGGGAGTGATTAAAGTGGCCATTTGCACATTCATGAATTAAAAAAAAGAAACCTGTGATAGAAAAAGAGAACTCTGTTACTACTGTTATTTTCTTCTTTTATTCCATATTTGCCCATTCCCCTCCTTTCTGCTTTATTTTTCCAAATTAGTTGTTTCTTCTTTAACTGCTTTTATTTTGGTCATGCAAAAAAAAATACTTTTATCTTTTTTGGAATGAAAATTGTTAATTTTATATTTTAGGATTCCCTGTATTCCTTCTTAAGTTATGAATTATCTTCCTTGCCACAGTTGTAAAAAGTTATCTCCTTCATTTCTCCTCTATTTTTTAAAAAATATATATATGTCATTCTAAGCATAGGTTATGTATCAATTTGTAATTTAGTTGGTATGTGGTGTGGTGGTCTAAATCTAATTTCTGACAAACTGTTCAGATTTCTCAGCAGTTTTTGAAAAATACAGTCTTTACCCTACTAGTTAATATCCTAGGGTTTATCCAATACTACTATGTTCAATTAGTTCTTGGTTTATTTACTTAATCTGTTCATTGATCATCTAGTCTATGTTTTAACCAGTACCAAATAGTTTTGAGAATAAGTGCATTGCAGTATATATTTTGAGATCAAATAGTCTTGGTCTCTTCCTTCCTATGTATTTTTTCCATTATCTCCCTTGAGGATTCCTGACTTTTTGTACTTTCAGATAAATTTTGTAACTGTTTTGTCTAGCTCTATAAATTATCCCCATTATTAGTCTGATAAAGCATGAAGCCTGTAAATCATTTTAGGCACTATCATAATTCTGATTATGTAATGTAACATAATCATAAAAATTATATTTTCCAGGTATTTAAGTCTTCTTATATTTCTTTAGAGTGTCTTGTAGATATATTCCTATAAGTCCTGGTATAACCTTGTAACTAAACCCTCAGATGTATTATAGTTATTTTGAATGAACTTTCTTTTTCTAGCTCCTCCTATTGGAATTTGTTAGTAATGTACAGTAATATCGATTATATTTTGTGGGGTTTTTTTTTATCCTACCACTTTGCTAAATTATTGTTTCAATTAAATTTTGGTTGAATCTCTAGAGTTTTCCAAGAAAAATGAATCATTCCCGATTAACTCTGATTTTTACTCTTTTTCAATGCTTATATCCTCAATTTCTTTTTCTTGACTTCTTTCTGCGTTGATATTTTTAGAACTATATTAAATAACAAAAGTGACTACATGTTCATGGTGTATGTGTGTATGTGTTTGTGTGTGTGTGTGTGTGTGTGTGTGTGTGTAATCTTTGCTCTATTCCTATCTGAATTGTAAAGATCTCTAGTATTTTCAAAGTCCAGTTCCTGAAGGTTGGGTGTTCACTCCTTGCCTTAGTTTTGGATGAGGTGACTGCATCCCAACTCTCCTATGGTACTGTCTGGGATCTGAAAATGCCACCCCTGGAGGCAAGACAAGGCTTGCTCACTTCTAAAACCTTTGGATTCTAAGATCAACTAATCAAACCAGCCTTAATTTATCCTTGGGAATAGCTCCAATGGGTAAAAAAGAATGCATTTTTCCATTATGCAATCTTTAGGTCTTCATATAAAATTATATTCCTTATGAGTTTAATCCTATAGAGAATTCTATTCAGTGTCATCTCTTGCCATGAAAAAAACATTAAAATCTTTCTACTTCTCTAGAACAAAGTGTACTTCACCAAGATTTCAAGTAATACAATCAAGTTTATTTATGATGTGGATCCTTGCCACTAATTATTTCTAATTGCAAAGTTTAAAGAACTTTTTCCTGTATTTTTTAAGCCAAAATTTCTTAATACTATTCTGTACCAAATAGAATGTGACATTTATCCCTGACATTATCTCCTTTGAATTTCACTTCCTGAATATTTTCCAGGTTACCACCCAATTGCTATACATACTAAAATATTCCTTATTGAGATCTCCAATTCTCTTGGACCCAGACATTTAACAAATCAAAAACATCAATGGCTTTTAAACTCCCAGGGTTTGATGTTATAGAGCAAAAATATCAAACATGCAGCTGTAGGTCTACAATACTTCCTAGTACAGCCACAACCAGATGAAAACATAATTGGGAAGTATCTAACAAAATAAATAAAAATGCAATACAACATAGATAATACTATTAATTTGTGGGGATTTTTTAAGTTGTTATGTGGCTTTCAGGGATTATTTTCTATTTGTGTTTGACTCCACTGTGTAGAATATGTGTATTTGTGTGCTGTGTAACATAGAGACAGTTAGTTCATCTGCGGCATATTTAGATACCCAATCTAGTATCTAGCCCACGTTGCCTCCAAGGAAGATGATGATTGATGTCTTTTTTATGGGGAATAGGAGAAGCAGGTAGAAGCCAGGGCTACCATGGCTGGGTGATCCTTCTTTCTCTCACCTATTTCCAAGAGATTTATTGGACTAGAATTATATCTGTTTACTATATATCAAATATCTGTAGTCTAGGGGGGCAACAAGGAATTTAGAATAAGGACCCTAAAGAGGAGGGTAACACTTAGCATACTCTCCCCAGCTCAGTTCTCTTTTACTAAACACTGGGTATAACAAAAACCATCATGAACATCATACTACCTCTCCTCTTCCAAGGTTCCCCCAACAGTCTGACATCATATGTCTCCTTCATATGTTCCATAGGCAGTGTGCCTCAGAGATCTCTTAGTCAATCTGTAATCATAGCCCCTTATTCAGGCAATGTCACAGAGCAGTCCCTGTCCTTCAAGGAATCATCTAATCAGTGTGAGCGGGGATGTTACATTGTGTCATCACAAAACATGTCATTTAGTTTTAGACCACATATTTCCTTGGAAGTTGCCAGGGGAACTCAACATGTGCTTTATAGGATGCCATTCCTGGATGTTCATGCATTCTTGATGAGGTGTATTCCAATACAATGTTCATTAAAATAACAGTAACAAAAAGAAAAATGATGATAATGGTGTTGATGATGATGGTGATGATGATGATGATGAAGAAAAAGAAGAAGAAGAAGAAACATCTTTTCCAGTTGTCATAGTCCCTGACTATTTTGTGATATCACCTCTCACTCAGGAGTCATCATGGCCTCTGCAAAGACTAGTGGATATTTTAAAAGTAGATCTTATCTGAAGTCTACCTCCACTATTCATTTTTGTGTGAATTTAGGCAAGTCACATAATTTTGGGGTGCCTTAATTTCCTAATCTGACCTCTTGTTTTGTATTAAATGCAACCTAATTTTCTTTCTAGCTCTTTGACCAGTGATTCAGTTGTCAGCACAATAACTCTGCTTATTTTCTTCCCATAGCTAAAGAGTCCTTTTCCCCCCTCTATTACTATACATATTTAATCATCCTTTGATGCCCTATTTAAATTCCAGGTTTGGAGGGACCCCCAATGTGATTGCTCCTAATCATAGGAACACTGGTGATTGCCTTCTCTTAATTTATGCCTATATCACTTAGTTGTCATTTAATTTGATCATATACTGTTTACAAGATACTTGATTTAATTTATCATGTGTTTATATTTTATTTGCTCCACGAAATTGCAAACTCCTTGAGGTCAAGGATTATTTATAGCATTTGTTTGAATCAAACAGTGGTTTCTGAATACCCACAGTGCCTGGAAGAATGTTGAGCATTTAGGATTCAATAAATGAATTAATTAAGGCCAATATTTGATTCTCAAGAAAATCAGATTTTATAATTGTTAAATCTATCATTAACATATTAATAAAAAATTTAAGGAATATTGAAACATTGATTAGTTTTCATAATAGAATGTGAGGTTGGAATTATTTTCATTATCCCCACCTTAAAAGATGAAAAACAAAGATGCAAAGAAATTAAATAGATGTATTGCATCAAATACTTGATATATTCCTTTTTTTCATTGTTTGTATAACAAATTGCAAAGCTAGGTTGATCAATTGGAGGACAATCTGTTTGGATCTCCTTTTCAATTAGGAAGTAGAATTTGATGTAGCAACAGTTTTCTCTGATATTTTACCTTAAAATGCATCAAGAATAAGAGACATTTTGTATCTAGGCAGAATGGTTTTTTAAGATAATGTGGGAGGAGCACTAATGAATCAATGTCTTTGGAGGGTTTTGAAAGTATGCCCTTTTCTGTTTCTATAGAGAGTGTGGATTATGGGCCAGTGTTTGTGCAGGAACCAGATGATATCATTTTCCCTACTGATTCTGATGAGAAGAAAGTGGCACTGAATTGTGAAGCTCGAGGCAACCCTGTTCCCAATTACAGGTAGAAATTCACTCTTGAGCACTCATTCCCCTAAGCCTCAAAAACAACAGTTGGATGACATTCTGGAATCCCCAGAGAATAAGAGAATGCCCCACGTAATCCTTATCTGTATTTCTTCTGATTTTTCCTAAGATGGCTACGAAATGGAACAGAAATAGACTTGGAAAGTGATTATCGCTACAGTTTGATTGAAGGAAACCTCATTATCAGCAACCCAAGTGAAGCAAAGGATGCTGGTCATTATCAGTGTTTAACAGCTAACTCCTTGGGAAGCATTCTGAGCAGAGAAGCCATACTTCAGTTTGCCTGTGAGTAAATTATGTTATTGCCATGAACCCCTTTTACCCTTTTAATGGTTAACGAATATGTTATAAATCATTGGCAGAGTTTTTGTGAGTATAAAATTGCAGAGAGTAGGGACCATATCTTTCCTGAGAGATTTCTGAATCTCTGGATAAAACTATTGTCTTCTGAATAAGCCCAATTTTGTTCCTGGGAGGAAAATATTAGGATTAGTGAAAAAAGTATATTTTAATAGTGAGGAAAAATAAGTTTTGGAATTTTAATCTCTAAAGGAGTTTATTGTGGTCATTTCCCCTCAGTGTAGTATCATAGTCTGAATGTTGGAGTTGAGAAGATTGAAGCCCAAGAAAATAAGTGATTTCCTCAGTCACATAATTAATAGGGCGAGAGCCAGGATGTAAACCCAGATCCTCTGAGTCCAACTTCAGAATCCATTCCATGTACCATTATATTAAATGTATGCCATCATTTTTTTCATCTCATCCAAATTTGTTCTCTTTTTTATAAGCTTTCACAGAAATTCCTGAAATTGTTTTTCTTGAAATGAAGGACTACTATCCATTTTAGGCCAGTGGTGTCAAATAAATAATGATCCTTGTCAGCACATCCACACTTAGAAAAGCACATTAACATTATCTATATTCTAGTGTATTTTTACTTATTCTATTAAATATTTCCCAATTACTTTTAATCTGGTTCATTTGCATTGAGGAGTGGGCCTGGTTGTGCCAGGTAGTGTGTTTGATACCTTACCTCAATACTAAGCTATTGATCTCTGGTAGTCTTGGTGGTCACATTCAAAATTGCAAAATAGATGGAGGTAAAGGATCTACATTGGCTATAAAATATATCCATTGTGCATTTTAGATTTAGTGTTTTGTCCTAAAGTTCTAATAACCAATTTTTCTTTATATATTCTTGAACATTTTTTATCTGTTGTAAATGTGTGTGTATAATTAACTCAGATACACTACACTAAAAATATGCAAGAAGGGAAAAAAAAGATATAGAAGAGGAAAAAAGAGTATTCAAAATCCAGACCACTAATTGTCCAGGATTCACAACTTAGAGAATACCAAGACAAGTCATGGAACTATTTTAATCTGTCACATGGTCAAAAAGTAGGGTTGCCTTGGTAGTTGAGAAGGTATTATTTCTATGAGAATCAGTTATACCATAGGAAAAAAAACAGCATCCATTATTATTATGAACTGTATTTATTTGAGAGAAGATTGCATACTGAAGCATAGGGCAAAATACTCTTCAATTTATCTGTTGAACTCACAATAAATAAGACTGATAAAAAAAAAAGTCAGCTCCTACCATTGTGTCAATGTCATACAGAGTGTCTGTGGGAAGACGGTGACTTTTCATCAAAAATATACCAGGTGCAGGTAAATCCTCTTAGTTAAACACAACTATAACTTATATCTTACAGTTTGTACTATGTCTGTGGTGTGCCCACTAGTGGTCAATATGCAAAAAAGGATCTGCAATTCTCTTAGTGATGGAATGTTCTCCACTGATGAAGATCAGAACCATCCATTACTTACCAAATAGGTCTTAAGATTTTACTTGAGGTTTACAGAGGATACAAATTTTTTATGGTCATGTAGAGGAGAATTTTGAAGTTATATTCAGTGCTATCTACTGTATAACATTACCAATTAGTAGAACCATTATCTAGATTTAATTATTTTCTGTGAGAAAAAACTCCTTATGAAAGTTGAAACTATAAAATTAAAGTGATGAACTGGCATAAAATGTTCCATTGTGATACGAGATTGATTCTCTAATCTATAAATTGTAATGCATTATGACAGATTTAGACTGAGAGATTATGGCTTTTATTTGCCAGGTCATGTGACTACATTTTGCCAATGACAGGGCATTTGCAAACACTGAGTCTGCCAAAAATCATTCAGACCTGCCATGGTTCTCCAGTACATTTAAATTATTATTTTGTTGCTTAATCATTATTGTTAGGTTATATGACCTCATCAAAATATACTATCTCAGATATGTAGTTGATGTGCTTTAGGGGTTTATTTGTAAGTGAAGAAAAATCTATATAAATATTGTCACAATAATCATGATCTTATTGTCTATTTCCCTAATAGCCCATATTTCCTTAAAGAGAGTATGTATTAAATATATAAATAGGAGTTGTTAGATTTGAGGGCACAAGAAAAACTCCTCTATCCAAATTGATTTTCCTATTCAAATGTACATCTAAAAATTCACTATTCTTAAGCTTCATTTCTTTGGGCTAAATATTACCCTTTTTCCAAGCTTCTTCTTTTCTTTTTTAACTACAAATACCCTCACAGTTTGTGCATTCATTCATGTGTGTTTGTGTGGGTAAGAGAGAGAGAGAGAGAGAGAGAGAGAGAGAGAGAGAGAGAGAGAGAGAGAGAGAGAGAGAGAGAGAGAGAGAAGTACACTGGAACTTATATATTGGCAAAATTTTTTTAGATGAATCACTTTCCTCAGAGTCAGATAACACAAGGTCCCTGGCACCATAGCAGAATTGGGAGTAGGGAAGAAATTGGTATAAGAGATATAAATACGGAGGGGCAAGACAGAAAAGAAAAGAGGAAGTACATTGAAAATGTACTTCAGCTACCTAACATTTGCCTAGAGTTTGTCCCATATACTAACAGTAAACTCACAAAAGAAGTGATCTTAGAGAATACCCCAAGAGAAAAAGGTTGATGGGTTGCATGATGGAACACTATCTTTGTGACACATCCCTCAGGTTCATACAAGTCACTTTTTTACCAAATAGTCTAGACTTATGCATCATTTTTTTCACTTTGATTTTTAGCATTTTTTCCTTTACCAATGAACAATCTTGAACAAAAAGGTTTAAAAGTGTATTTTGTGACCCATTTTTTGAATTTCTATTGTACTTCATGCCTCCTTCTGAGCCTAGAACATATTTGGTACTTGGTAAATACATTTGGATTCATTCAACAAACAATAGTTTAGGACTGGATTATCTTGTTCCATACTATACATTCACAGTGTCAGTTCATAATCATCTATGGATTTGTTTGTTAATGGGTTTTTAATATTTTTTCTCTTTTAAAATTGTGATAAAAATATGGGTTTTCTTATAATTTTCTCTCTCTTTATATATATATATATGTACATACATACATACATACATACATATGTGTACATATACTAGAAGATGTAAAATTGAGAACAGAAAAGTGAGGTTTCGAAACAATTTGCTAGTTTAATCACTATGTAGAAAGGAATGGGCTTGATATCAGTGAAAAGAGATAATACTACTTTGAAGAAAATGGAGATGGGGAAGTATTGATACTGTTTCACAGCCTTAATTGTAATAGGTGAAAAGTCCATTTTTAATCAAGTGTAAGGGAAAATATAGTGTAAAGAGATAGAAAATCTGCATGTGCTTTTATATCAATTCATTGTAATTATCATTCATGTTCATGGTTCACCTCATCCATTTATAGGCTTTATGCCAATACAAATATGAGAGGCAGTATGGTAGGGTAAATAGAGTATTCTACTTAGAGAAAGGAAAATCTGGGTTTGAGTCCTGCACCTGAAATTTACTAGCTGTGTTACCATGTGCAAATCACTTTAGCTCTCTGGCTGTCAGTCTCCATATGTGTAAAATTAGGATAATGATACCTGATGTACCTACTTCACATAGTTTTAGGGAGCAAATGAGCCAAAATTGATAAAGTGTTCCATCTACTTTAAATGATATATAAGTATCATGTTATTTTATACATCACAAAATATTCACTTGTGGAGGGTCACTGGCAAGGATCTTACATTTCAAAAAAAAATAGTTGTTTATAAGAGTATCAGTGCTTACAGACAGGTCAAAAATTGTGTGATTCTGCGCTTTTTCTGCTGTTCTTCCACCACCACTGCAGAAAGAAAAGAGCAGAGATCTGAGGGCCATTTTGTATTGGTTTTTGTTTGGTATTTGTTTCATGGGTTGCCCTGCTGTGATGCATCATTGTGGTGTGGAGGTGACTCTGTTGTTGTTTTGGTTTTTTTTTAAATCTTGCCATATTGGTCACATGACAATGCCTGGTACATAGGAGATGCTTAATAAATGTTTATTGATTGATTGATAAGTAGTGTTTGTTCTCTTAAGTCCAAAATAGATATGTAAGCCATGATTTCTCTGATCATGTCAGTCTACTTGTGGATACACAATAAGGTAAAATCTCTTCATTGTAAAGTAATCCTTTATTTGTCATTAGAATATATCCATGAAACTGTTCACTTCTTCATTCATTCACAAACCTTTCACTTCGTGTTCTAATGGACCAGGATAGTTACTCCAACCTTATTCATTTTCCCTTGGAAACTTCCACCAAATGTCTGCCCCTGAGGATGTCTCATTTTGTTTCCCAGCTAAATGAATAGTTACTACCACAGTTCAACTTAATGAGGATACTCTACTTCAGCAACAATAGCTATGTGCCTCAAAAGACTGAAGTGAAGATTGATAGAATGGTGAAGTCACGTTTGTGAAAGGTTTTTGTTTTGTTTTGTTTTGTTTATTGGTTGGTTTATTTCTTTCCCCAACCTTCTTAAAGAAAGACTTGTATAAATACAAAGTTATGTTTGACTGTTAGTGATGGTTGTTGCTGGTTCTCAATCAGACCCTTTATACAGTGGAGTATCTTATTCATTTTACTTATACTCATCAGAAAAATAATATTCTCACCTACTAGAGTGATTTTTTCCACCAGTGACAAGCAAGAAGCTGCTATGTAAAGCTGTGTCACTCTATTAACCTATTACCATGCTGATGAGAATTTGAAATTGATAATGTGACACTACGCACATCTCATACACCCTGCTGAGCTGGGAAACGGAAAGCTCTGAGCAATCTATCAAAAGTTCAGATTCTCACAAATAATTCATGGTATAAAATCAAACAGAAAATGAATCAAGACTAATATCTCCTCATGTTGTGTCTTACTTCAAAAACTTCATATTGACA